ATGGTAGCTTTTAGGGTTGCCAGGCTCCAGGTGGGGCCTGGAGATCTCCTGGAATCACAACCGATCCCCAGACTACTGCAATCAGAGCCAGTTTGTTGTAGTGGTTAAGAGCACGGACTCTACTCTGGGGGAACTGGGACTGATTCCCTACTCCTCCTCCACATCCAGCCAGCTGGGTGGCCTTGGGTCAAGCACAAGTTCTCTCGGAGCTGTTCTCTTAAGAGCAGTCCTCAGAAGAGCTCTCTCAGCCCCACCTACCTCACAAGGTGCCTGTTGTGGGGAAAGGAGATTGTAAGCCACTCTGAGACTCCGAGTGGGCGGGGTATAAATCCAATCTCCTCCTCCTCCTCCTCCTCCTCCTCCTCCTCCTCCTCTTCTTCTTCTTCCTTGGAGAAAATAGCTGCTTTGGAGGGTGGGCTCTGTTGCATTTGACTCTACTGAAGTCCCCCCCCCTTCCCCAGAATGCTAAACCTCCCCAGGGCTCAGTCTACAGGAATTTCTCAACTAGGTTGCGAATGGGATTGTAAACATCCAGGTGGAGGCTGGTGATCTCCTGGTCTTACAGTGGAGGTCTGTTCCTCTGGAGAAAATGGCTGCTACAAGCTATGGCATAAGAGCCTGCTGAAGTCCCTCTAGGGTTGCCAACTCTGGGTTGGAAATTCCTGGAGATTTGGGGGGTGGAGCCTGGGTATCACAGGGCTTGAAGAGGGAGGGTCTGAAGAAGAAGAAGAAGAAGAAGAAGAAGAAGAAGAGATTGGATTTATACCCTGCCCTTCACTACCCAAAGGAGTCTTAGATCGGCTGACAAACTCCTTTCTCTCCCCCTCCCCACCACAGACACCCTGTGAGGTGAGTGGGGCTGAGAGAGCTCTGGCAGAAACTGCTCTTTCAAGGACAGCTCTTGTCGGAACTATGGTTTGCCCAAGGTCATCCAGCAGCTGCAAGTGGAGGAGTGGGGGAATCAAACCCGGTTCTCCCAGATCAGAGTCTGTGCACTTAAAACGAAGAAGAAGAAGAAGAAGAAGAAGAAGAAGAAGAAGAAGAAGAAGAAGAAGAAGAAGAAGAAGAAGAAGAAGAAGAGATTGGATTTATACCCCGCCCTTCACTACCCAAAGGTTTCTCAGAGCGGTTTACAAACTCCTTTCCCTTCCGCTCCCCACCACAGACACCCTGTGAGGTAGGCGGGGCTGAGCGAGCTCTTCCGAGGACTGCCCTTGAGAGAACAGCTCTGAGAGGACTTGTGACTGACCCAAGGTCACACCAGCAGCTGCATGTGGAGGAGTGGGGAATAAAACCCGGTTCTCCCAGGTCAGAGTCCGCGCTCCTAACCACTACGCCATAGAATCCACCCTTCCTAAGCAGCCGTTTTCTCCAGGGGAACAGATCTCTGTCGAGTGGAGATCAGTTGTAATTCTGGGAGATCTCCAGGCCCCACAGGGGGGTTCTTATACCAAAAAAGGGACTAGGGTGTTAAAGGTGGTTATACAATAGCTAAAGCGCCATATATAGTAAACCTTCGAACAGCTTAATTGAGACGCTTTCAGTTTTTCAGCAGTAATCCCGCCAACCGGCTTGGCAGGTCTGAATCAATCCCGGCGGCTGTGGTCAGACTCAGTTTACAGAAGGGGCCCAGCCCTCTCGAACTCCCTCGCAGGGGAGTTGTGAACTCTGGGCGATAGTATTCTTCCCAGCGTAGCACGACCTTGAGCCGCCCACGGGCTCCTTTCTCTTTCTCCCCGTCGATTCGTATTTGCTTAAAGTTCAAGGGCAAACAGAGCCAGCCGGGGAGGTTTTTGTCCCCCGTGCCAAGGTGTGAAAGGGCTTTGTGGGCTGAATGGCGGGGAGGAGGGAAGACTGATTGTAGAGCAAACAGATCCGTGCTGGCACAGTGCTTGGCGCGGGAAAACAGGTGATCTTTTCTACAGGCTGACTTCTAAAGAGTACTACTAGTAGTAGGAGATTGGATTTATACCCCGCCCTTCACTCGGAGTCCCAGAGTGGCTTACAAACTCCTTCTGAGAGCCAGTTTGGCGTGGTGGTTAAGTGCGTGGACTCTAATCTGGGAGAACCCGGTTTGATTCCCCACTCCTCCACTTGCAGCTGCTGGATGACCTTGGGCAAGCCGTAGTTCTGTCAGAGCTGTTCTTGAAAGAGCTGTTTCTGTCAGAGCTCTCTCAGCCCCACCTACCTCACAGGGGAAAGGAGTTTGTAGGCCACTCTGAGACACCTTTGGGTAGTGAAGGGTGGGGTATAAATCCAATCTCTCTCTTGTACTGTATTTGCATCCTGAGGAAGAGAGACAAATAGTTCTTCCATGTGCTGAGGTTTGGGGGCAGGGATGTGTGTGGGGGAGCCTGCGATGGCACATGTCTGGAAGCGACACACACGAAGGTACCTTATGCTCAACCAGACCACTGGTCCATCAAAGTCAGTGTTGTCTGGCAGTGCTGTGGCTGTCCGGGGTCTCAGGCTGAGGTCTTTCCCATCACCTCCTGCCTGGTCCTTTTAACTGGAGATGCCGGGGATTGAGCCTGGGACCTTCTGCATGCCAAGAAGGTGCTCTTCCACTGAGCCACAGCCCCTCTTTACAGCTCTCCAGGGTCTCAGGCGGAGGTCTTTCCCATCACCTGCTGCCTGGTGCTTTTTAACTGGAGATGCCGGGGATTGAACCTGGGGCCTTCCGCATGCCAAGCAGAGTTTCTTCTACTGAGCCACAGCCCCTCTTTACAGCTCTCCAGGGTCTCAGGCGGAGGTCTTTCCCATCACCTCCTGCCTGGTCCTTTTTAACTGGAGATGCCGGGGATTGAACCTGGGACCTTCTGCATGCCAAGCAGAGGCTCTTCCACTGAGCCACAGCCCCTCTTTACAGCTCTCCAGGGTCTCAGGCGGAGGTCTTTCCCATCACCTCCTGCCTGGTCCTTTTTAACTGGAGATGCCGGGGATTGAACCTGGGACCTTCTGCATGCCAAGCAGAGGCTCTTCCACTGAGCCACGGCCCCTCTTTACAGCTCTCCAGGGTCTCAGGCGGAGGTCTTTCCCATCACCTCCTGCCTGGTCCTTTTTAACTGGAGATGCCGGGGATTGAACCTGGGACCTTCTGCATGCCAGGCAGATGCTCTACCACTGAGCCACGCCCCCTCCCCAAATCACAGAGTTTCCGGTGATTACAAGACCCTCCCCCTGCCGCTTCTGGGTTTCTCCCGGAAGTGACATAACGATGCATGCAGTGCCACCATCTAAACATTTTTTCTCCCACCATTGCCTGGAGAGGTGGTGGGCGATGGGGGCCGGGAGTGGGGGACGGCCCGCTCCAACTGGGCAAGTGGTAGGGTTGCCAGCCTCCTGGCGGGGCCTGGAGATACCCTGCTGTTACAACTGATCTCCAGCTGACAGAGATCAGCTCCCCTGGAGGAAATGGCTGCTTCGAAGGGCATGAGAGCCAGTTTGGTGTCGTGGGTTAAGTGCGCGGACTGTAGTCTGGGAGAACCGGGTTTGATTCCCCACTCCTCCACTTGCAGCTGCTAGATGACCTCGGGCAAGCCATAGTTCTGTCAGAGCTGTTCTCTCAAGGACAGTTCTGGAAAAAGCTCTCTCAGCCCCTCCTACCTCACAGGGTGTCTGTTGTGGGGAGGGGAGGGGAAAGGAGTTTGTAAGCCGCTCTGAGACTCGGAGTGAAGGGCGGGGTATAAATCCAATCTCTTCTCCTTTTCCTCCTCCTCCTCCTTCATTGGACCATGCCGAGGGCCCTCCCCTTCCCAAACCCCGCCCCCTCCTGGATCCACCCCCAAAGTCTCCAGGTATTCTCCAACCTAAAACTGGCAACCCTAGCAAGTGGCAAGCCCTGGAGGCTCTATGGCTGGCCTCCGGTTTATGACGGCTCTATGAGATTAGCTTTCTCCCGAGGCCGGCTTTGCACGTTTCAAGAAAATGCCAGTGCGTGTTCTTGCAGAGCAAGTTTATTGCTCAGATTATATCTTTTTGTTGATACCCTTAAACCACCCAAGGCCTCTAGAGGGACATGAGGGGAATGATTTGGCAGCTGTAATAAAATGGACGTTGACCTTTGCTCCTGCCAGAGGGTTCAGTTTTCAGTTTTGAAGAGTCGAGGGGGGCGTGAGAGAGGTTCATCAAACTATCCATGGGATAGAGACAGTGGACAAAGCGAACTTTTTCTCCCTCTCCCGAAATACTAGAACTTGCGGGCATCCAAGGAAGCTGATGGGCAGTAGGTTCAGGAAGGACAGAAAGAAATACTGCTTTACACAGAGAGGGATTAAACTGTGGAATTCACTGCCAGAGGATATTGTGATGGCCACAGGAATAGACAGCTTTAAAAAGGGGATACTGCCGTGGTAGCTGAGGAGATCCTCCACATTCGGGGGCGCCAATCCTCTGAATCCCAGAGCCAGGAGGCAACATCAGGGGAAGGCCTCGGCCTCCATGCCCTGTGGTTGGCCCTCCAGAGGAGCTGGCTGGCCACTGTGTGAGACGGGAGGCTGGACTAGATGGACCCTCCCTGGTCTGACCCAGCAGGGCTCCTCTGAGGTTCTTCTCAGGGGAAGGCCTCAGCCTCTCTGCCCTGTTGTTGGCCCTCCAGAGGAACTGGTTGGCCCCTGTGTGAGACAGGAGGCTGGGCTAGATGGACCCTCCCTGGTCTGACCCAGCAGGGCTCCTCTGAGGTTCTTCTCAGGGGAAGGCCTCAGCCTCTCTGCCCTGTTGTTGGCCCTCCAGAGGAACTGGTTGGCCCCTGTGTGAGACAGGAGGCTGGGCTAGATGGACCCTCCCTGGTCTGACCCAGCAGGGCTCCTCTGAGGTTCTTCTCAGGGGAAGGCCTCAGCCTCTCTGCCCTGTTGTTGGCCCTCCAGAGGAACTGGTTGGCCCCTGTGTGAGACAGGAGGCTGGGCTAGATGGACCCTCCCTGGTCTGACCCAGCAGGGCTCTTCTGATGTTCTTAGGTCCATCAAACTGGTATCTGATGACAGTCTTTTTTCTCTTTTCAGTTGTTCGGCTGTGGTTCAGTGGCTCAAATCGTCCTCAGCAGAGGAAGCCACGGAGCTTTCCTGACAGTCAATCTGGCGTTCGGTTTTGCGGTGACGCTGGGAATTCTCATCGCTGGACAGATCTCAGGTACGGACGGGAATCTTTGGGCGTGATCTCACTGTGGAGTCAATATCCCACAAGTAAATTTCAAGTAGTGCAGGCCAATGCTCCCTCTAAGCTGTGGAGTCTTGTGAGCAAAAATTCTACTTTGTGAGCTACTGGCATTAGAGTTGTGAGCGAGCGATTTGGCTCCTGCATAAATTAGTCTGCTCTGGAGCCGTCCTTCCTGAGCTAAGACGAAAATGTGTGAGCCAGAGGCTAAAAAACTGTCAGCTAGCTCACACTAACTCAGCTTAGAGGGAACACTTGTGCAGGCGTAGAGAGGCAGTGTGGTGTACTGGTTAGAGGGCTGGACTGGGAGCAGGGAGATCCAGGTTCGAACCCCTGCTCTGCCGCAGACCTTGGGCCAGTTACGCACTCTCACCCTCACCTACCTCACAGGGTTGTTGTGAGGATACTTAAAGTCTTAGTTTGACACTGTTCAGAGCTGACTCGGCCGTAAGAACAGTACCATTACAGTAAAGTCGTGAGGATACGACGGAGGGGGAGGAGGCCAATGTCAGCCACTTTGGGACTGAATGTAAACAAAGCAGATGAAACAAAATAAAAATGAAACGTACCAAAGAATGGCGAATGGCCTTTTCAGGTTTCAGCCCTCCGCGCGTTTTCCTGGGAGCAAATAAAATGCATTTATTTTATTGCAAAATGTGTGATGACAAACCACTCAGGCAGCCCACAATTTATTACGTTTACTTGGATTATTTATAGTCCAACTTTCTTACTGAGACGCAAGGCAGATTACACAGTGTAAGTCAATGAACAGGGTGGGATATTCATGGGGTTGCCAGACTCCAGGTGGGGCCCGGGGATCTCCCGCTTTTACAACTGATCTCCAGCTGACAGAGATCAGCTCCCCTGGAGAAAATGGCTGCTTTGAAGGGTGGACTCTATGGCACTGTACCATGCTGAGGCCCCTCCCTTCCCCAAACCCCGCCCTCTCCCGGCTCCACCCCCAAAGTCTCCAGGTATTTCCCAACCCAGACCTGGCAACCCTAGATATTCAGTAAGAAATGGATTTGGATTGGAGAAATCTGAACACAGAGCTGAAGCAAAGCACCGGCATTAACTTGACATGTTAAATAATGCGGCATTTATGGAGTAGGATCATATTGTAGGGTTGCCAGCTGTGAGCTGGGAAATTCCTGGGGATTTTGGGGTGGAGCCTGAGGAGGGACCTAAGTGGGGTAGAATGCCCACCCTCCAAAGTAGCCGTTTTCTCCAGGGGGACGGACCTCTGTATTCTGGAGAGCTGTTGTGATTCCCAATCTGCAGCCCCCACCTGGAGGTTCAAACAACAAATATATACACTGCAAAAACCTTATTTATAAGTTAAAGTGTTCTATATGTTCCATCTTATAAAGTGCATTGTGTATTATTCATAATATTCTAAAACAGGTATATATTCATTACAGGCAATATCAACAATAATAATCAGTTTGTACAATCTAATAGCCACCGGTCAATTTACATCCTTTTTACACAATCAACCCCAAACGGGAGTTTCTAGAATTGTACACCCGCTTCTCCTTGCTTGAAAGTCTTCAAGGCAGCCTTGAGAAAGACAGGAGCTATGATTGTCTATGATTGTCAGCTGCTTAATGGGCCTTTTTGTAGGACCGGCAACAAACATCAATTTAAACTTCAATGTAACCACAAAAGGAAACTTTCCCCTTTAGAAGACTTTCAAGCAAGGAGAAGTGGGTGTACAATTCTAGAAACTCCCGTTGGGGTTGATTGTGTAAAAAGGATGTAAATTGACCGGTAGCTATTAGATTGTAAAAGGTAAAGGTTCCCTTGCTCGAAAGCCAGTCGAATCCGACTCTAGGGTTGCGGTGCTCATCTCCGTTTCAAAGCCGAAGAGCCAGCGCTGTCCGAAGACGTTTCCATGGTCATGTGGCCAGCATGACTAAACACCAAGGCGCACGGAACGCTGTTACCTTCCCACTGAAGTGGTACCTATTTATCTACTTGCAATTTCTTGCTTTCGAACTGCTAGGTTGGCAGGAGCTGGAACTAGAGACGGGAGCTCACTCCATCATGCGGCACCCGGGTCTCGAACTGCTGAACTACTGACCTTCCACAGCCTGCAGTTCAGCGTCTTAGCCACTTGAGCCACCGCAGCTTATTATTAGATTGTACAACCTGATTATTATTGTTGATATTGCATGTAATGAATATATAGCTGTTTTAGCATATTATGAATAATACACAATGCACTTTATAAGATGGAACATATAGAACACTTTGACTTATAAATAAAGTTTTTGCAGTGTATATATGTGTTGTATGACTCTTCTAACACTGCAGCTCGAGTTTCCACACCCGCCTGGAGGTTGGCAACTCTATCATACTTAGCACTGCAGATAATATGTCCGATTGGGTCTCCAAGGTGCTTATGCTAATAAAATATAAAATCACAGATACAGTTACAAAACAGCTGATGACTGAGATAAACTAAAAGAAAAGAATAATACATTCTATAATGAAGTTTGGGTCCAGTGGCACCTTCAAGACCAATAAAGTTTTATTCAAGGTATAAGCCATTTTCTCCAGTGAAGCTGATTTCTGTCAGCTGGAGGTCAGTTGTAAAAGCGGGAGATCCCCAGGCCCCACCTGGAGCCTGGCAACCCTAAACAACAGAAAGGCCATTTTCAGTGCATTTGAATTGGTTGTGTGAATCGGTGGCTGGCCACACAGGAGTGTTGATGTGGAGTCCCTCCCTATGCCTGTGTGATTTTGGCCCTTGCAAAGAGGGCCGGGTGCAATTTGGCCAAGTCTCAAAAAGCCACAAAACGCGGTTCCGCCTGCAGATTGATTCGAGCTCCGGAATCCATCTCTTGCCTTACCTTGGCACAAATGGCTCCCGTTCGCTTTTGTCCTTAGACTTTGCCCAGTTTAATTGTGCCACCTGATCTCCCAGGGCAATCAAATTGCTGCAGATTGTGTTGCCTGCACAATGCGGTCGCTCCTGTTTGCGCGAGCAAAGCTGTGTTTTCTTTCCCTTCTGATGTGCAAGCCAATGCCTTAAACCTGAAATGTTTCACAGGTGGCCACTTGAATCCAGCCGTCACCTTCGCCATGTGCTTTATGGCTCGGGAACCTTGGATAAAGTTGCCTGTATATGCTTTAGCACAGACCCTCGGCGCGTTCTTGGGAGCTGGCATCGTCTTCGGCTTGTACTATGGTAAGCGCATGTGCCGACGGTGTTTTTGCAGACCTCTAGCTGCCAGGGCACTGTTTCTCAGATTGTCATTTGCGTATTCATAGAACTGGAATGAATCTCTGTGTTTCTCAAAATGGGCTTGGGAAGCTCAGGTTTTGTCGCTGGGAGGGAACAGAATATCACGCGGCAAATCTCAATTACACACAGATGTGCTCACGTGCATTGTTAGGCTTGGGACCCTGAATTCAGAGGGCATCAGTAGATTCAGGACAGACAAAAGGAAATACTTCTTTACACAGCGAGCGATTAAAATGTGGAATTGGCTGCCAGAGGGTGTAGTGATGGCCACAGGCATCGACAGCTTTAAAAGGGGATTAGATGGATTTATGAGGGCTACTAGCCATGGTGACAAAAGGGAACCTCCATGTTCAGGGGCAGTGAAGCTCTGAATCTCAGCACCAGGAGGCAACATTCAGTGAAGGCCTCTATGCCCCGTTGTTGGCCCTCCAGGAGAACCGGTTGGCCCCTGCGTGAGACGGGATGCTGGACTAGATGGACCACTGGTGTGATCCAACAGGACTCTTCTTATGTTCTTATCACCCAGTAGGAAATTTTCCTTGTGCAGGCCCCATGGAAAGGAACGAGGCTTTTGTGCCGCTCCGTTTCAGTGGGGTTTGTCAACATTATTTCTTTTGGGATTGTACTGAATTGCCTTAAACAAGAAGCCATTATAGGAAGGCAGTTTGAAACAGTGGATCCCTCTGGACAGAGTGGATCCAGCTTGTCTGTTGGTTTTTAGAACATCACGGACGGGGACTTATCGCAGTCAGGCAGCAGATTACCTAAACACGGCAGTGTTATCTCCGCTTAACAGACTCTCTGAGTGTATCCTGACGCACTTAAATTCTTAACCTGCAGATGGTTACATTGGCCGAGGAAGTGCGCATGCATATGAAAACTTCGACCCAGAATTAAACGTTGGCCCCTGCCACACGGGGGTGGGGGGGGGGGGATTGATGCGGCCAAAGTGGGGCTTTTTAAAGCCGCACCAAAAGAGACACGCGGTGGCGGGATCAGATAGATCCCCTACCGGGCGGGTCCCCCCGGGCAGTAACAGGGGCGGGGGGGGGGGGAGCCACGGCGGGGGAGGAGCTTTCAAGAGTCATGGCTCACCTCTTTGTAACCAATGAGGCCGTTACTGGAAGGCTCAGGTCTCTGGAGATAATAATGATCGCATAGATATCATATCTCAAACGTGTTGGGTTGTTGCGGCCTCTTGGAGCTGACGGGGCTGACGAAGACGCCCTGGGGTTTTTTGGCTTAACAAGCAGAGCCTTGCAGCCGACACACAAAAACGTGATTCCTTCTCTTGCTCCAAAATCAGTTTAGGACAGTTTTCTCCTGGGTGGGGTTCCCAAAATGCAGCTGGCAAATCCCTGGGACGAACTGGGATTGGGAATCGAGGGACAGTAGGGGTGCCAACCAATGTTCCCTCTAAGCTGTGGAGTCTTGCGAGCAAAAATTCGACTTTGTGAGTTACTGGCATTAACGTTGCGAGCGAGCGATTTGGCTCCTGCATAAATCAGTTTGCTCTGGAGCCCTCCTTCCTGAGCGAAGAGAAAAATGTGTGAGCCGGAGGCTAAAAAATTGTGAGGTAGCTCACACTAACTCAGCTTAGAGGGAACACTGGTGCCAACCTCCAGGCAGCACCTGGAGACCTGCTGTTTACAGTCCGGACTCCAGACCAACGAGATCAGTTTCCCCCGGAGAAAATGGCTGCTTTGGAGGGTGGACTCTATGGCCTTGTACATGCCTGAGGTCCCTCCAGCGTTCCCCGTTTTCTGAAGGGAAATATTGTGATGTTCCCATCAGTATTCCCTCTAAGATGAGCTGGGGTGAGCTAGCTCACAGTTTTTTTAACTTCCGGCTCACACATTTTTGTCTTGGCTGAGGGAGGGATGGCTCCAGAGCAAACGAATCTGTGCAGCGGCCAAATCGCTCGCTCTCAGCTTTCATGCCAGTCGCTCACCAAGTAGCATTTTTGCTCACAAGACTCCACAGCTTAGAGGGAGCGTTGGTTCCCATGTATGTAATGGACCAGTTTCACCCGTAGCAGGTTTCTGGACATAACATAAAAAGCTGAGATGCCTTCCCATAGTCTTGAGGCTGAAGGGTTGTGGTCCAAACACCTAAATTCAGTGTTTTTCTTTGCCCTTCATAAGATCCCTGGAGGACATGTGCCCTAAACTGATTTCCTGGAGACATCTGTCCTAAACTGGAATACTTCTTTACACAGAGAGTGATTAAAATGTGGAATTCGCTGCCAGAGGATGTAGTGATGGCCACAGGGACAGACAGCTTTCAAAGGGGATTAGAGAGATTCATGGAGGATATTAGTGGCTACTAGCCATGGTGACTGAAGGGGACCTCCGCTTTCAAAGGCAGTCAACCTCTGAATCCCAGTGCAACATCAGGGGAAGGCCTCGGCCTCTCTGCCCTGTTGTTGGTCCTCCAGAGGAACTGGTTGGCCACTGTGTGAGACAGGATGCTGGACTAGAGGGACCCTCACTGGTCTGACCCAGCAGGGCTCTTCTTATCATGGGAAGGCCTCGGCCTCTGTGCCCTGCGGTTGGCCCTCCAGAGGAACTGGTTGAGGCTACTGTGTGAGACAGGATGCTGGACCAGATGGACCCTCACTGGTCTGATCCAGCAGGGCTCTTCTGATGTTCTTCTCAGGGGAAGGCCTCGGCCTCTCTGCCATGTTGTTGGCCCTCCAGAGGAACTGGCTGGCCCCTATGTGAGACGGGATGCTGGACTAGATGGACCCTCACTGGTCTGATCGAGCAGGGCTCTTCTGATGTTCTTCTCAGGGGAAGGCCTCGGCCTCTCTGCCATGTTGTTGGCCCTCCAGAGGAACTGGTTGAGGCTACTGTGTGAGGCAGGATGCTGGACTAGATGGACTATTGGTCTGACCCAGCGGGGCTCTTCTGATGTTCTTCTCAGGGGAAGGCCTCGGCCTCTGTGCCCTGTTGTTGGCCCTCCAGGGGAACTGGTTGGCCACTGTGTGAGACGGGAGGCTGGACTAGAGGGACCCTCACTGGTCTGATCCAGCAGGGCTCTTCTGATGTTCTTATCAGGGGAAGGCCTCGGCCTCTCCGCCATGTTGTTGGCCCTTCAGAGGAACTGGTTGAGGCTACGGTGTGAGACAGGATGCTGGACCAGATGGACCACTGGCCCGATCCAGCAGGTCTCTTCTGATATTCTTATCAGGGGAAGGCCTCGGCCTCTACTCCCTGTTGTTGGCCCTCCAGAGGAACTGGTTGGCCGCTGTGTGAGACGGGATGCTGGACTAGATGGACCCTCACTGGTCTGATCCAGCAGGGCTCTTCTGAGGTTCTCCTCAGGGGAAGGCCTCGGCCTCTCCGCCCTGTTGTTGGCTCTCCAGAGGAACTGGCTGGCCCTTGTGTGAGACAGGAGGCTGGACTAGATGGACCAATGCTCTGATCCAGCAGGGCTCTTCTGAGGTTCTTATGATTTCTGACCCGGTCAGGCCTTCTCAGAGGTCCAGAGAGGCCCAAGTTGTGGCGAATCCCCAGCTATAATCTCCACTGTGTGAATGTAGGCAAGCCGCAGCAGCCGTTTTGTGGCCAGCTCTGCCTCATACAGCAGCCATTTTGTGGCTGCACCCACCACGCCATGTCAGAATTCAAAAGGTGCCCATAGGTTCAAAAAAGATTGGGGGACCCCAGGTTTAGAGTCATACTAAGCTTTCCTGTTGGATGATCAGGGCAAAAACCAGGTATCAGCACTCCAGTCAAACTCCTGGTTTCTTCTCTCGCCCAGATGCCATTTGGGCCTTCGGTGGGAACCAGCTGTTTGTCGTCGGCGAGAATGCCACGGCCGGGATCTTCGCCACGTACCCCTCAGAGCACTTGAACTCCGTGAATGGATTTTTTGACCAGGTAAGTGGTGGCGGGACAAGGCCAGGCCCTCAAAAACAGCCATTTACCTTAACATGGTCTGATAGTGTTGCCAACTTCCAGGTGGTGGCTGGAGATCTCCCACCATTACAACTGATCTCCAGGTGACCGAATGATTGATTCACCTGGAGAAAACGCCAACATTCGAGGATGTCCTTGATGGCATTGTACCCCACCAAAGTCCCTCCCCTCCCAAACCCCGCCCTCCTCAGGCTCCACCCCCAAAATCTCCAGCTACTTCCCCAAGCTGGACCTGGCAACTCTAAGGGTTGCCAATCTCCAGGTGGGGCCTGGAGATCTTCCAGGATTACATCGGATCTCCTGAAGGCAGAGCCCCCCCTGGAGAAAATGGCCGCTTTGGAGGGCGGACTTGATGGCATTATGACCTTGACAAAGCCCCTCCCCATAGCCCACCCTTTCCAAGCGCCACCCACAAATCTCCAGGAATTTCCAAACCCAGTGTCGGCAACCCTGTGCTGGTCACAAACTAGGCACTTTCACGTAGGAGTATTTGGTGTTTAATTAAAGCAAAAAAGTTTCACACAGGGAATTGCTTTTTCGAGGAATGAAACCAGAACGTTCTTCTCTTCTTGCCTCGCAGTTTATTGGCACAGCAGCCCTGCTTGTCTGCGTCTTGGCGATCGTCGACCCCCACAACAACCCGGTCCCCCGGGGTCTGGAGGCCTTCACCGTCGGCTTTGTCATCTTGGTGATTGGAACGTCCATGGGCTTCAACTCCGGCTACGCCGTCAACCCGGCCAGAGATTTCGGGCCCCGCCTCTTCACGGCCATCGCTGGGTGGGGCTCGGAAGTTTTCTCGTAGGTGGTTTCATTCTCTACGCAGCTGTTCGGAGTCATTGCCTCAGACAGGATTATACGTTTGGATTTATGTTTGTTTGCAGGGGTCATTTCGTAAAAAAAGAGGTGCTGGAGCTCATTAGCATAACTCGTTTGCATATGCCACACCCCCTGACATCACCAGAAGTGTGTCAGAAGGCAATACCCACCACTCAGGCTCCATTGGACTGTTTTGGATTGCTAGCTATTTGGGGGGGGGGGACGTGCAGATCTGCCCTCACAGAGGAGGGAGAGCTTGTACCTGAAGGTGGGCCGGGGGGGGCTCTGCAACTTACCTGGCTGCTTCTTGCTCCTCGTGGTCCAACTGAGGGCTGCTGGGAGCAGGGGGCGTGGCTTGTTGCATGTGCCCGCCCCCTGGGCTCTTTACTGCCGGAGCTCCGCTCCTGTGCGCTCCTGCAGGAAATGACCCCTGCAATTATCACAGCTTAAATAGTAGTGATAATTAAAATGAGATTTGTCAGCGTGCTCTCTTGTTTGAAGTACTCCTCTTTTTGCTTTTCAAACTATGGTAACCCTCCATTCGGACTTTGTCATCATTTGGGACATTTGACAGCCTAGCTCTGTTCATTCCATCAGAACACAGGGAAAGACAACCTCTGCTATTAGAGCTGTTTCAAAGCCTTCTGCTATTTGAGGGCAGCCTGATTTCTCTTGAGCCAGAGACCACCAGGAGGTTCTTACTTCCTGAGCGTAATGCTCTTCTCAGGGCATACAAAGAGAGGCAGTCCCAAAGATATGTGGGTCCCTGACCACTCAAGGCCTTAAAGGTCAAAACCAGCACCTTGAACCTGATCCGGTGATCCAGCAGAAGCCAGTGCAGAACGCACAGCACAGACTGAATATGTGCCATCCAGAGAGTCCCCGTAAGGACCCGTGCAGCTGCATTCTGGACCACTTGAAGCTTCTGGGTCAGTCTCAGGGGTAGGCCTGCGTACAGCGAGTTACAGTAATCTATCCTGGAAGTGACCTTTGCATGGATTACTGTGGCTAGGTCAGAGTGAGACAGTTAGGGATCCAGTTGCCTGACTTGGTGCAGTTGGAGAGACGCCAGCCTGGCAGCCTTCGCGACCTGGGCCTCCACTATGGCATCCAGACTCACGGCCAGACTCCTGACGGTCAATGCTGGTGGGCGCCGCGTTGAGGACCCCTGATATAATGCATTTTAACCCCACCCTTTCCAAGGAGCGCCATGGTTTCCCTTTCCTTATTTTATACTTCCAACAATGCTAGGTTGTAGGTGAGACGTTGTAGGCCACTCAGTAGACTTCAGAGGGAGGACTTGAACGCAGGTCTTTCGGATCTTAGCGAACACTCTGCCCACTAGACCAAGCTGCTGTACTTAATCCCCTCTCTTCTGTGTTTTGCAGGACGGGCCGGCAGTGGTGGTGGGTCCCAGTCATTGCCCCGTTCCTCGGGGCCATTGCCGGCGTGGGGGTCTACCAGCTGATGGTCGGCTGCCACGACGAGCCGCCCCCCGAGGCGAATGATGAGGAGACCGTCAAGCTGTCCAATGTGAAGCAGAGGGACAACGTTTGAAGCTGGCAGGGAAAGCGGCCGTCCTGCGGGCGTGCAGATGGACTGTGTTTTTTTTTAAAAAAATAGAAAAATAATAATAGGACTGCAGTAACCAAAGAAAAGAGAGAGGAAAACGACGACCCACAAAAGGAATCTCCCCTCTGACGTTTCCCCTCCCGCCTCCCAAATTTCTTCAAATACCCTCGATGCATGTGCTTTAGCAAGCCTCTTACGAGCCGCGCCGTCCTACGCTGTGGGGCCACGCAGCCTGCATTGGACAGCAGCGTTGTAGAAGGGTGTGTGCGCAGGGCCGTCGCCTTGGCAACCTGGATCCAAGTCTTACGCTTTGCTTTAACCTCCTTATGGGCCATTTCGCCTCTTTGGCGGGATGTGGGCTGGAACGATTTCAGATCCACCTTTGTAAATAGATCTGGGGCCACCGGGCAAGTTAGGAATAAGAAAGGAGAGGATTTAGTTCACTGTGCAGTTGCTGCCTGTTACTAGGGGTTGCCAGCCTCTAGGTGGGGCCTGGAGATTTCCCGGATTTACAGCTCCTCTCCAGACAAGAGAGATTAGCCCCCCTGGAGGAAACGGCTGCGTTAGAGGGTGGACGCGGTGGCATGATGCCCCTTCCCCAAACCCTGTGGTCCCCTGGCTCCACCCCAAAATCTCCAGGAATTTCCTAACCCAGACTTGGCAACCCCACCTGTTAGTCTGTGGGCCAAACCCACTCCTAGAGTTACCTGAGTCTCCCCAAAGGCTGGGCTTGTTCCTGGGAAATTTGGTGTAGTGGTTAAGTGCGCGGACTCTAATCTGGGAGAACCGGGTTTGATTCCCCACTCCTCCACTTGCAGCTGCTGGATTACCTTGGGCAAGCCATAGTCCTATCAGAGGTGTTCTTGAAAAAGAGCAGTTTCTGTCAGAGCTCTCTCTGCCCTACCTACCTCACAGGGTGTCTGCTGTGGGGAGGGGAAGGGGAAGGAGTTTGTAAGCCACTCTGAGACTCCGAGTCAAGGGCGGGGTATAAATCCAGTCTCTTCTTCTCCTTCTGGAATGGTCAAATGGATGTGACGGATTGCTGCGGCCCAGCTTGGTCAGTTGTTTCCGCAGATGAAGCTACTATGAGGGAAAGATATTCATGACAGAAGATTCAGTGGGGGGGGGGATTTCAGGATCTGCTAGGAGTGGCTGGTTGAAGATGAAGTTGAGGAACTTCGTTCAAGATCTAGCGGAGTCTTTGGTGCATTCAAGGCCTTTCACAGTGTCAAGCTTTGTAAATATAAAGGAGAATATATATATATAAATACAGGGCTATTTTTGGGCAGGAATGTGCAGGAATGGAGTTCCGGCTGGCTCCCGAGTTGCCCCGCCCAGCAGGAACTCATTAGCATAATAGGCCACACCCAACAGCAGAAACTCATTAGGATTGGCTACATCAGGGGTGTGTGGCCTAACATGCAAAGGAGTTCCTGCTCCAGAAAAAGCCCTGGGTTTTGACCACAAACAAGGTAAACAGAATAAGCAGCAAAAGGTGGGTGTGGCTGGATTACCAGACTCCTGGTAACATGGGGGTGCGGCCTAATGTGCTAATGAGCTGTGCTGTCAGGGGTGTGGCCTAATATGCTAATGAGTTTCTGCTGTTGGGTGTGGCCTATTATGCTAATGAGTCCCTGCTGGGCTTTTTCTACAAAAAGAGCCTTATATAAATATTTACGTATACACAACCTGTTGTTACATGCTGTTATAGCACTCCGCTTTTGGTAACTTGGTGTGAGTGAGAGGGAGAGAGTATGTGCATTTTAGCCTTGCTTTGGTTTGGGCCTGTCTCCGCATCACGACCCTGGGCTTCCTTGGAGGTCTTCCGTCCACATACCTACTAGCCAGGGCAGACCCTGCTTCTCTCCCGAGATCGGACAAGACTTGTCTATCCTAGTCTATCCAAGTTAGGTCAGTACACATCTTGTATTCCATCAGTCTGGTGTAGCGGTTAAGTGTGTGGACTCTGATCTGGGAGAAGCGGGTTTGATTCCCCACTCCGCCACTTGCAGCTGCTGGATGACCTTGGGCAAGCCATAGTTCTGACAAGAGCTGTCCTTGAAAGGGCAGTTCTTGAAAGAGCTCTCTCAGCCCCACCGACCTCACAGGGTGTCTGTTGTGGGGAGGGGAAGGGAAAGGAATTTGTAAGCCGCTCTGAGACACCTTTGGGTAGTGAAGGGCGGGGTATAGATCCAATCTCTTCTTCTTCTTTGTCACTTCTAAGTTGCATTCATGCCAGCCAGCCCACGATCCCAGAGACCTCTTGCTATGACCATTGATCTCCAGACGACAGGGATCTATTCCCCTGGAGAAGATGGCTGCTTTGGAGGGTGGACTCTATGGCACTATATCCTGCTGAGGCTCCTCCCCTCACCAAACCCGCCCTCCCCAGGCCCCACCCCCCCAAATCTCCAGGTATTTCCCATCCCAAAGCTAACAACTCTAGCTGGGCATCTAGCTGAATTTTGTCTCACCCAGCTGGCCGTGGCTTTCCAGAGTCTCTGGAAGGAAAAGAACTTTGCCGCTGCTCCAGGAGATGTTTCTAAGTGGAGATACCTCCAAGACCCGAGTGCCGTGTGACGGAGCGAAGCTCCCGTCTCTGGCCCCAGCTCCTGCCAACCTAGCAGTTCGAAAGCGAGAAACTGCAAGTGGATAAACAGGTACCGCTTCGGTGGGAAGGGAACAGCGTTCCGTGCACCTTGGCGTCTAGTCACGCCGGCCACACGACCACCGAAACGTCTTCGGACAGCGGCTTGGAAACAGAGATGAGCACCGCACCCCTAGAGTCGGATTCGACTGGCTTTCGAGCAAGGGAAACCTTTACCTTTATCTTTTACCTCCAAATTGCCCTCACCTGGGCTAGCCTGTTCTTGTCAGACCCTAGAAACTAAGCAGGGTGGGCTCTGGTTTGTATTTAGATGGGAGACGACCGAGGAAGTGCAGGGTTGCTAACAGAGGCCGGGAATGGCAGACCGCCTCTGTTCGCCTCTTGCCTTGAAAATCCAACGGGGGTCATCATAAGTCGGTTGCAACACTTCCCATCACCTCCTCCAAATCTCCAGGCTTCCAGGGAGCCCGTCTATTTCTGGTGCCCCCCCTTGCCACCTGACCACAGGGCACCGCATGCCAGTCAGCTTGGCACTTCTGTTGTGGTTGACTGGGACCGAAGTCAGCCCTTCCAGCCCTTCCCAACCTCATGTCAAGCCATAAGTTCAAATCCTGTGGGAAGCGCATCCACGGAGATGCATTATTATTATGTGTAGCTGAGACGGGAGTGGGGTTTTTTTCTGCCTCGGCAACAAAGATCCTTGTGTGTCTGTATTTTGTAAAAAACTTGTCATATCTGTGTTCCATTGCTCATGTAGATCCTGCACCCTTTATAATGTGTTTTCAGGTTTTTTTAAATAAATAAATAAATGACGCCATGCCTGTCTCCAGGGTATGTTCTTTGGTCAGTTTTTTTTTTTTTTTTAAATGTCAACTCTGTCCACATTCCTTCTGCCAGAGAGCCAGTTTGGTGTAGTGGCTAGGAGTGCGGACTCTGATCTGAGAGAACCGGGTCTGGTTCCCCATTCCTCCGCATGCAGCTGCTGGTGTGACCTTGGGTCAGTTACAAGTTCTCTCAGAGCTGTTCTATCATGAGCAGTTCTTGAGAGAGCTCTCTCAGCCCCACCTACCTCACAGGATGTCTGTTGTGGGGAGGGGAAGGGAAAGGAGGTTGTAAGGTGTAGTGAAGCCAAACTCTGTTTGCAGCATGGCTTGGGAGTCGGGACAGCTCACAGCCCTGTGGGACCGTGTCCCCCGCCAGCCCCTTAAGGGGTCTCCCCCCTTTTTCTGCTGAGCAGTGCTTCACATGATAGAAAAAGAAAATAAGGGAAAGGGGGGGGTTCATGATCTTCTGTTACACCTGTACTTTAGTGCAAACATAATGGTGGGAAAAAGGAGCTGCGGTGGCTCAAGTGGTTAAGACGCTGAACTGCAGGTTGTGGAAGGTCGGTAGTTCAGCAGTTCAAGACCCGAGTGTGCCGCGTGACAGAGTGAGCTCCCGTCTCTAGTTCCAGCTCCTGCCAACCTAGCAGTTGGAAAGCAAGAAATTGCAAGTAGATCAGTAGGTACCGCTTCGGTGGGAAGGTAACAGCGTTCCGTGCTCCTTGGTGTTTAGTCATGCCGGCCACATGACCACGGAAACGTCTTCGGACAGCACTGGCTCTTCGGCTTTGAAACGGAGATGAGCACCGCAACCCTAGAGTCGGACTCGACTGGCTTTCGAGCAAGGGAACCTTTACCTTTACCTTTTTTAATGGTGGAAAGTGGGAGGAGGACAGCTGGGGGCGGGGTCAGCAGTGAGTCACAGAGGAACAGGCGTCTGGGATTCTCACACTGCTGGCTACCATGGCTGGGGCATCAAGGGCGGGGTATAAATCCAACCTCTTCCTCCTCTTCCTCCCCTGTGAGAATGTAGCCTCATGACCTGGAGGAAGACATGGGGGGGGGGAATGCTTATCAAGTTTGCAGATGACACGAAGCTGGGTGGGATTGCTAATTCTGAAGAAGACAGAGTCAGGATTCGAAATGATCTATTATTTTTATAAATCCCCAAAGGGATATTTTTATTTTTGCAATAAACTACAAAACTACAAAGAAAATATTAGGGAGGGAACCACATCTAGGGATAAAGAATAGATAACCACATTATACTAAAACCCCAAGAGGAGGAGATCTTATCCCTGTTAGTGTAAGTGTTAATACTATAAGTGTTAGTATCACAATATACTTTTAGAGTTCTTGTTTATCTCAGCTTCAGTGTTTATATGTTAATATGATAGTTGTTATGAGAGAACTTTCTGATTATCTTCTTGTTCTTCGCTTCAAAAGGCTATTATCCGAGTCCTTCTGCCTTTACTTCGGCTTTCTGTCTCTAAAGTCATATACAACTCTGGCAGCACCTGCTCCCGTTTCTGCAGCCGAGTCCTCCTCCTTGGATCCGTTTCCTCCTCCTTGGATTCTTCCTCCGTTCCCAACTGGCGCCGCAAAAATTCTTTAGCTTTGAAAGTGGAGTCTATCTTCTCTCTTTTATCGTTGATCTTAAAGATGACACCCTCTGGAATCACCCACCTATACGAAATTCCATTGGTTTGAAGGAACGAAATGAAGTCCTTATAATTTTTCCTCTTTTGTCGGATTTCAAATGGAATATCTTTTAAGGTTTTGATGGATATATTTCCCATTATCAGTGGAGTTGCTGATGTCGCTTTTAAGATAGCATCTCTGGTCTGTCTTCTTGAGAATCTGACCACGATTTCTCCAGGCAGGCTATTTTTTTAAATATAATGGGAGTTTGCCCTATAGGCCATCTCCATTTCTTTTATTTATTTATTTATTTATTTATTTTTGGGTACTTCTACCCCGCCCTACCCCGCAAGCGGGCTCAGGGCGGCTTACAAGGGGCGTGAGCCCATACATAAAACCAATAAAACCATAACATTTATATCCAACAATACAGCTTGACAATAAACAATAAACAATAAAGTGCTTCTATTTAACAAGATGGTCTTAGTTGTTTTAATAATAACTTCCAGCAACCCCCAATTTGGGTATCACTGACCACTAGAAAGTCCGAACTCGTCTGTTGTGCTCGTTGCCATATAGTTCTTATACCTCCAATTACTCAGGCACTCCTGACCCTGAATAGTATTACCACCGTTGGTAGTGGTGGTAGTAGCGGCGGCCCCTACATAAAGGCCTGGTGGAAGAGCTCCGTCTTGCAGGCCCTGCGGAACTGCATAAGGTCCCGCAGGGCCC